TTGCCAATTTCACGAATTCAAACAAATCCTTTTGCATAGGTATTCTCGAAAGCATATACTTTGAGAAAATGTAAAAAAAAAAAATTGATTCTCTTATGCCGGATTACCAGAATACTCCCTTAACTTTTCGCCTTCTTTCTGTCATTCGTCAGATAAAAGAACGTCGTGGGATCGTTTCTATTTTACAACATAATTTTTTTTTTTTTTTAAATTAATCTCTCCCGAGTATCTGTAGCTCTCGCGCGCAGTATTTTGCCCATTTCTGTTTTCCGTACGACTCGAACGGTATCGATTTACGGGTCGTCAGCACTCGATATTGATTTACCCGAGTGTAATCGAAACGTATCTCGGGAAAAGTTTCTGTTGTTTCAGCTAAAGTCGAGCCTGTCTCGTTTATTTTCGACGTTTGTTAAAACTACGAAAGACGAGACAGCTCACGGAAAGACAAAAGAAGAAGAAGAAGAAGAAGAAGAAAAATAAGAAAGAAAAAAGAAAGAAAGAAAGAAAGAAAGAAAGAAAGAAACCGGTCGCCGGATGGATTTTTATTACCGGCCTCCTCATTGTTTCTCTATTTCTGATCACTTTCCTGCCCGGTTATGCAAACGGGATGGTATTTATAGACTCGCGTAACGGGTTTCGCGAGATTGCAATACCGATACTTCTTCTACGCGTTCTCGTTCGGTATTACTGGTATTACAAGCTGGATGGAACAGCGCAGGCTGCAAGGTTTCATTACGATCCTTTCACGATAGCTTCGTCCTTGCGTGATTTTATTTTCAACAAGTGTTCTCTTTTGTTTCTTCTTCTTCTTCTTCTTTTTTCTTTTTCTTTTTCTCAATCTTTCTTCCCCGGAAGGAACTCTTTTCTCACGAAATTGCAATGATTAACGTTCCGCTTCGCGCTGTTCCCCTATCCTCCTCCTCGAGGGAACTTGTAATCGGCGAGTTTATTGGGAGATCAGAGGGGAAAATGGGGAAAAGAAATCGGCGCGGGAACGTTAATAACGCTGCCCCTCGTATCTTATTTAGTTTACGGAAACCAAATCGCTTCCTCGTACGCGCACACATCGATACGCGCCGCGTGGAAAAAATTGCCACGTGTAATTTGTTTGTGATTAAATGTGAAAACAAATTGAATAGTGGCGCGTTGCGCCAGAGAGTTCACTCGTTATCGCTGTTTCTCGCTGGATTATCCGATGCATCGGCCTCTCATCCGTCGTTCGTGTCCGATAACGCTCGGCCTCGTACGTGTTTCCAGCGATGTCGAACTGATCAATCACGAAAGCTGTGAGTTCGCTCGCAAGTTCACGAAAATTCTCGGCGATCGAACATAAAGGTGAGACACGGCGTCACGCGACACCACGCCGAGTGTCGATTTATCGTTTCGTTGCGCGAACAGGTTGCCATTTGCGTAATTGTAAGCTGACTCGTCGACGTAGGACATTCCTTTCTATCGTCAGCGATTATCGGATACGCTCGAGACGTATACGCGATCGCCGAGTAACTTCAACGCCGCGCTGAGATCATTTCAAGTGGGCAGGACAGTTTGTCGGGCCGAAAAATTACGAATACTTAGGAGGGATAGTAAAAAAAGAAAAGTATTTTATATATTTAATTGACACGAGCTTTCGTGGTTTATTTCAACACATTACGAACTATAAAAAGCGACATTAGAAAGAGAAAAGAAAGATGGCTCTTGTTTAACTTTTTAACGACATCTTTTTACGTAACTTTTTTTTACATTCCACATCGGTGTGCATGATTCCAGCCAAACAGGAGCTTTAGCTGCAACAAAAGGGCAAAAAGAGTTCGAAAGTAAACAATATTCTCTGGGGATTGACGATCCAACATTTTCATTTTTCTGATGAAATTATGAAAATAACAGCTATTTGTTTTTGACGTGTCGAAATTGTGCCAAAAATTTCTACGTTCTTTTGTTTATATTTTTCGAAATTGTTAAAAATTAAAAAATGTTCGATCGTCGATCCCTAGTAAATGTTACACTAAAGATACGTACCAAGTTTCNTCTCGCACGCCGTTTCTAAAAACCTAGTTTCGAGAAAAACGCGTTGAAAGTTTCAGAACGTCATTTTTCATACGTATCCTTTACTTACTTTTTTTACTTATACATCGCGGCTCACAGTTCTTACAATTCACAACTAAATTGAATCCAAGTCCCCCAATATTCGATTCGCCAAAAGTAACATTTGAATCACACGATTTACACTTTATAATACTGCTTAAAGTTGTAAAAAAGCGATACAAATTCAATTATTCTGTATCCGCGGATTTATTATTATAACCCCAGTTATGATTATATTATATATTATATATTATATGTATTATATTATATTATATATTATATGTATTGTATTATATTATATATTATATATTATATGTATTATATTATATTATATATTATATGTTATATATATTATAACCCCACTTATTATCTACCCCAGAATAAGTCGTTTTAAAGGACTTTTACACCTTTTGTATCTTATTTCTAAGATAAGATTTCTTACTTCAAACTACTATTTAAAACAAAAACGAAAAAAAAATCGATTTTTCGAAAATTTCGAACTGCCCTGACCCCTTAACCGATAATTTCAGCGGTATCGCGTTATCGCGCTTGCGGTAATAAGCTGGAATAAGCATCAAAGTCCCCACTTTTTCCCTCTTTTTTTCTTTTTCTCTAAGCGCAGTCTCAAAATTGCGCTTTTCGATCGATGCGAGTTGCAACGAAAAAATCCAACGGCATTTGTGACGTTATCTTATTCTACTGATCGTTTGCAGGCAAATTGGGTCGACCAGACGCTCATCAATGTCACTGACGATTACTCAAGTGAAATTTCACCTACGAATTTCACTGTCGAAGAAAGCGTTCTGGACAAGTATGCAAGAACTTTTTTTTTTTTTGAAACTTCTCAGAACGATTAGAGAATTTATTTATAACCGAGGGTTTATTACCTCCTCGATTAGCGTGCGATGGAATTTTTTGACGAAGAAATCTTTATTAACGCCGGGGCAGATAATCTCTCTAATAACGTAGATTAACGTCGACAA